AAAAAAAAAAAAAAAGAAGAAAAAGAAGAAGAAAAGAAAAAGAAAATGAAACCGAGGAAGTGAAAAAATGTTTTCTGATAAAAAAAACTCGTATACAGCGCTTATTTGTTTTAAAAATTTTTTTATGCAACAAAGCGTTTCTTCTTGGTATTATGGTTTATAGACAGACAAAATGATTTCAAGTAGATCCTTGGCTAGCTGTTGCCCTTTGCATTAGGATTTAGTCACAGGTTGTTAAAGACTTCCCTGTTAATCTCTCGAACATTACTTTCAACAATTTCATTTTAGAGTTAATGAAATACATTGGACGGGATCTTTCGGCTGTGCAATATCTGTTTTATGATATTTATGACATGCATAAACAACCAAGATCCTTTTCTGAGGCCAAAGTTTACCGCCTCCAGACTCATTGTATTTGTATAATTGGACTCAAATTGGCAGTTTTTAATCTTGAATAAATATGTCTTAGACGTTCAGTGATATTGATATCATACTAAGCTTCAAAGGCAGCCATCTTGTGGGGATATTTTCAACAGCGCATACGTGCGTTTGTGACTGACGCTGACCAGAGCATTGTGATTTCTATTTCAAAGTTATGTCATGGTCGCCATATTAGTGGTATTTTTGTCTTCAGTTTTTTACCACCTAATTACGCCTAGATTTCTATTTCGCAGCGGTTGTCATGGTCGTTATATTGGTGGTATTTTTGTCTTAGTTTTCTTTTTTGAATACCACCAATATGGCCGCCCTGCCGCTTTGTTTTTTTCTTTTTCTTTTTCTTTTTTTCAGTGACTCTCAACTCTTGGCTATGATTGCAAACCATTAAAACTGAGTTTTAATTTTTTCAAATCCAGGTTTGGTTTCAAAATAGAAGAGCGAGAATGAGAAGAGAAGATAAAATAAAGTCTRCTCCTGGACGAAGGAAAAAAAGCGAAACAGAAAAGTCTAACAGGGCTTTTTTCTTCTCACACTTGAACCAAGCAAAGAAAACTAACTCTACAAAGAAAACGAAAAATCATTCTCTTACCTTAAACACCAGAAGAACTGAACCTTCACGAAGTAAATCTTTCAGCATTGAAAGCATCCTCGCTCGTAAAGATCCTCCAAAACAACAACTGTCATCTGTAGATATCCTTTCAAACTTGGTGAATGAAATCCCTATTGACGACAGCGACAGCGAAGATGAAAATTTTGAACAAACTTGTTCCTCAGCAAGTTTGATGACTTCTTCACCATATTCCTGCTCGCAGAACAGTGCAATCGAATCGCAGATGAACATTTCTACATCTGGGCAAAGAAATCCTAACTCAGTAACTTGTTGCACAAGTTCGAACAACACACCAGTTTGTCATGTCAGAGAAAGTTCCAGAAACATTATTAGTTCTACTGGTACTCTTTCTAGAGACAAAAGTTACGGCAATACTACTGAATTACAAAGTTCTAAGTCAACTGAAAGACTACAGAATGTTTTTGAGAGGACAAATGTGGGAGATTCCTTCGAAAGAAGAGTTTCCCGCCAAAACGAGAGTTCTGTGCCGCCTTCTCTTATCTTTGTCACTAGCAGGTCACGCGCGCGCGAAGAAATTTCAAAAAGGGCGGGAAACCACTCCAACCACGATTGTGCTCCGATATACGAAGATATTCAATCAAAAAGACATTCTAATATCCCAGAACACTCAGAGAAATCTTCGAGACCTAATGAAAGAGGAAATAGCTCAAGAATTCGGGAATTATCTAGGATTCCTGTACAAGAAAGAGCTTCAGTCATCTGCCCCACACAACCCAATTCGTTCAGCGATAATTTTTTAACTGAGCAATCTCACAGTTTAGTTGTAAATTATGATCGAAATGGAACTGACATAGAAGTTAATAATCATTTTCTACGATCCTCGAGGAATTCTTACGCGGAAATGAGAGAGGGAGACAGCATTAATGACACTCCTGTGGTTTCAGCAACGTCAACGTTTCATTGTGAAAAACAGTGCAACGATTTTGAAACTTTTCGTAGGACAAGTATACTTACTCTTCGGAACCGCGCAGAAAAACATGCTAGGCGGTTGAATGTATGCTCGTAGTTTTTTCCTAAAAAGTTTTTTTTGTTTGTAAAAAATAAATACGACAGATCATTTTATTTATTGTATTCGTTTTTCGTATGTGTGCTGTTTCTTCGCTTTATTTATTAATTGCTATTTTTAGTCACATCTTTCCTTTCCTCCTATTTTCTTCGTTTTCTTTCTTTCTAGCTTCTTTTCTTTCTATATATCTCCAATCACTGTACCATAAATAGGGAAATTATGATTTATTTTCATTTTTGACAACTCTTCCCCCCCCCCCCCGCCCCAAATTAGCCTGAACATAGCGGCCCACGGGAATTGTGGGTAGAATATTAAGAGAAACGCGCGAGACATGGGACATTGCGAAGACTTCCAACTTTATGCTTTCTATTACAAAAAATTGCTGAAATTCTAGCCAAGTTTGTCTGTTTTATATTATATGTTTTTGTAAGGGGAACTGATTTGATTTAAGTCCGTTTGGTTCACGTTTTTTTCATTAAAACACTCATGTTAGTTCAGCTAGCAAAACAGTTATTTCTTAATCATCGCCATGCTTGAGAACTGCTTATTAAAAATTGTAATGCAATACACAGCTTTAGTTACTAAACGAAAAGCGGCAGAAGCAATCACTTGATTAATTTTTTTCTTTTTATGATTTAAATGTACAAAAAATACCGACTAGTGTTACCGTGCTGTTTTGAAGAATTTCCCGAATTTTAATTTCGTTTTCCTGTTCAAATTTTTGCAGAAAAAAAGAAGACTTAAAAGTTCTTTTTGTAATGAATGAAATTCTTAGAATAATTTGTTTGCTCGCCTAATTGTCGGTATAAACTTCTGAAGAATAGCTGCTAATCTTTAATAAAAACAAAACTAATTTGAAACGTTTCTCAAATAACTTTGTTATATCAGGGCAGTTTTTTTTGGTCAGGAAGACGAAAAACCTTGGCCTGAAATTTAAAACTCGTTAACTCCCAACCGAAATATTGATAGCTGTAATATTGTATAACATAAAATGTAAACAGTTCACTGTCAAGAGTCCAAGACGATTACTAAATCTTTTTGAATTAATCTCTTTAATTTGTCAACATATAGACAGAATTTATGGATCATGGTTCGCCATCTTTGTACAGCTGAAGACGGTAACTCCACAAATTAACGGCTTACCACGGCAGACACTGCTGCAAAAACCGGATACATTTTAACCCGTCCCACAATACAAAAAAATCGTTTTCAAGATATGTTTCATTATGAATCCATCTACTGAAAAACCTCAGCATTTATTATAGCTTTTTTTTTTTTTTAGATACAGAAAAGACTAGAGAATTATTTAGACAAGAATGAAATAAAAATACTAATTGTAGTGCTTACTCGTTATTAAGGATACTCTAAATGGTTGGTCTAATTAGGTGTGTTTTTTAACAACCGTGAGAAGTTCTGTGTGTTAACTGAAAAAAGAAAGAAAAAAGAAGATAAGATTGTATTTTTTGCCCATTCGTTCAAAAGGCTAAACGGTTCATTGTATTTTCCACTTCAAACTGCTTTCATTCGAGCCTTTTTTTATCTTATTTACGTCCAATTTTTTACTTTGACAAAAGGCTTAAACTCTGTTAATCGATTTAACAACGACTAATAATTCAATTTATTGAAAAATGACAACGTTTTTTGGGAAATCCTATGGGAACTTGACATGTGTTGGCCTTCAAAGTGTCTTGTTGGTCCTTTTTCTTCAAGAGCGACTTCCGAGAGATCCATAACGGCTCGACTCATTGCACATTTTAGGCAATTTGTTTTAATCTAAATTACTAATAGCCAAGCATCTACTCTCAAGTGTGGACGTATTATCCAAATAGAAAAGAATTCCCACGAGTTGGAGAAAACCATGGAACGAGGCATTGTTGAGACTCTCAGTAATAACCGGGTCACTCGTAAAATCAATGGAATATATAAACTAGCGCTAAGCTTCGCTTTTAAAGAACAGTTGGGGTTAATTGTTCGCTCGTTCTAAAGCGCGTGCCTCGTTCAAAAGTTTTCAATGGCCTCGAATTCATACCCAACCGAGCGTAATACAGCATTGTTTGATTTGAATTTTCATTCACACTCTTTCTGATACTAAGAGCCGTCGACATTTAAGTGACTTCACATTTGATACTTCGCAGGAAGTAAAATGTTTCAAATGTGGGTTTTAAACAGTCAGTTTAAAATAAAAATAAAATAAAATAAAATATTTTTCACGAAAATTGTTTTATAATTATAATATATTTATAATTTAGGGGAATATATCTACCCATTTTCGTTCCAAAAAATAAAGCTTTAATCACACTTAGCGCAAACACAATTTCTGCAATTTAATGATTCTGCGAAATTAATTAATTCGAAATAGTGGGAAAGAAAAGTTTAAAGTTTGTCGACAGTGAGAGAGAAAAATATAATTTTTTTAAAGTCAAATTCAAAATTTATTTTTTTGGTTTAACTTTTGTTTTCACGTGAGATTAAGTTTAATTCGCATATTGGATTTAAAGATAAGCTTTCTAATCTATTAACAAACACGCTAAACACAACAGCATAAATCTTGCTTACTTTAGTATACTCTCTTTAGACTTTATTGTTGATAAACTTAAGTAACGGATTTCAATGTACATACGTTGTAATTTCTTAGCTTTTACATCATCTTTTACTAGTACTATTTATTTTGTGTATCAAACAGCCATACAATTCCTATTATACAATGCAATGCAGCCATCAACGTATCCATACAGACAATCTTTACATATATCTAATTGGGATCTGAAATTCAACTCCTTCAACATTCAACATATTCTAAGTCTATTTTATCAATTTTTTGTAAATTTTCCTTTTTTTCTTTTTGAATCTCATTAATTCTCAACCGATAAGAGCTCTTGATTCAAATGACATTTGAAGTATTTTATCGGGATGTTATCCCAAATCACGGCCTATTTTGAAGCCATCTAGCTGTATTTGACTTGATTTACATCTACCAAAAACCTTCAACTAATATTTTGGCTAATTTCATTCTAAATTTCTACAACTTATAAACATTAAAATTTGACCCAACGTCTATTTGAAAGATTTTATTGTAATGCAAAGAATTTGAATTCTTTTTGCTTTTTAGACGTTTCTATTTATCGACAGTCCTAAGCATTCTGCTTCGTGTTGTTTAGCCTTCTGTCTCAACACAGCAATACTAGATGATCGGTAGTTTTCAACATATTGGTCAGTGAAGTCATTTAAATCTTTCGGGTATCTACTTAAGTTGATAGTAGGAGAAATCTGTTCTGTTGCCTCTTTGCTTTTTGGCGAGGAAATTTCTCGTTCATTTTCTTCGATATTTTCGTCCTTCTTTGACTTGATTTCTTCATTGTCGTTAACTCGCTTAATAAATGTAGATTCTTCTGTTATGGCTCTCTCTGAGTTGTCATAGGCTTCTTCGTCTTCTTTATCACTTTTGTTGCTGACGTCGTTGTCCTTCGATTTCTCACGTTTTCGCCATTTTGCTCGTCTGTTTTGAAACCAGACCTGTCAAAAAATAACCAAACAAAAATGAGCTTAAACTGTTTTATTAACCATAAACCTATAACCATAATTAATTTAAAAAGGCTATCCTTTCAAATAAAAAAGACGGTTTCTAGAAGCGTATTCTTATAAGTTATTTTTTAGAACGTTTTCAATCTAGGAATTCCTCATGTGCATAACTTCTAAATATTGGAAACTCATTCTCGGCCAAAAAGCCGTGAAATTGGTTTTCTCAAGGACGAAAACATCGAGCCAAAATTGAAACAAAATCGAAACTTTCTGTGGAAAGTTACTGAGTATATGAAACTAAGTATTAAAATGAGCCAATTTTACGGTAAGATTAAAAACTATTTTTTGCAACTTACTGCTGCTCATTAGCACTTAAAATTAACAATATAAAACGTAACTTTTTATTCAATTGTTGTTTTTAATGATTCAAGATGTTTCTTCCTAAGGGAAAATGGACGTTTAGTGTGCTTGATTCGATATTCACATCCTCTGAACGTTTCCGCTTTCATACTGAGATCGTTACTGTGTTTTGACGATAAAGGAGAAAAAGCAAAGGGAATAGATTCCTAACAGAGCTTTGGATATTTTATTCATTATCTATAATAGTTCCCTATACACTGCCTTTTCTATTTTCATAACTTTAAATTAAACTTTCTTTAACATGTAGTACCATATATATCATATCTAGTAATTAACGCTACATTTCTAGTTGCATTTCCCTGGTTGAACCTTACGGCCTATTCTTGCTATACTTTGTCATATAACCTCTTCTTACCTGTACTCGAGCCTCGGTTAAGTCAAGTCGTAAAGCAAGCGCTTCTCTCATAAAAACATCAGGATAATGAGTCGTCTCAAAAGCCCTTTCAAGTTCTTCGAGTTGCCATGGACTAAAATTTGTTCGTACTCGCATCCTGCGTGGTTTTCGAGGCTGTCCTAAATTGTCCAGATATCCTTGACCTAGAACAATAAGAAAAGAAATCTATGAAATATCTGTTTTTGTGCGTGTTGAAGTATTAAAGGTTGTTTTACAAATAACTTTTTACAAAATTCACCCGAAGCTTTTGTTTGTGAGTGAGTTTCAATGAATACAAATGAAGAAGTAACAACTTGTACTACATTAATCTATTTTTAAGTTAACCGTGCCCTGAATTTGATCAGCCAGAGATTGTATCAGTGTTTAATCTGTGAGTTATAGCTGTGCCCTTACTTTGATTAGCCCAGAGGTTGTTTCATGATTCAATCTGTGAGTTAGTCGTGCCCCGAATTTGATGAGCCCAGAGTATCGAATTTTCTGGGTATCAATATGTTTTTGAAAAGTATGAGTTACTGAAGAACGGACTTTTTTGCTTTTATAACGATCTAAATGTTCACAGCTTTTTAGGGTGGTTTTGGCGATCGGGATTATCGAAGCGGGTACGACGGTTTGTCCAATCGTATCAATCTTTTTATCGAATAATCCTTGCGTGATTTCAAACTATTGACTGATTAATGAAGGAATTTGTAACCAGTGCAAAAGACAAGGAATCCTAGTGATTTAATCTTTTTGACGATAAAACAAAAGTTGAGCTTAAAGTAACTAAATGTGAATGATTAGCAAGATCAGAACTGTCCCGAAAACCACTGCTTTTATACGTTCAGTTTTTAAGATAAAATTTATTTGTATAAAGAAGTTCAGTTAACTTATCAACAGCACATTTCCAGAGAGTGATAATGGATCATTTCAATGCCTTCGTTTATCGCTCGCTTTGAGTAAATTTTTAGAGCTACTATAAAAACGGAAACTCAAGAGAGACCATCAAGTAGCACCTCTGGTTTTACTTGTACTATCGCATTAACAAGTCATTAAAATATACTGTATCAGGGTGGCAATCCGAATAGTTATCATCATTGTTCTAGTTTAAAGTACCTTGAAAAACGGTTGTCTCCAAGTATGGGTTGTGGTGAACTGGATGATGGTAGATGTATGGAACTTCGCAGCGTCGAGGGTAGGTTGGATATGGTAGGAAACTCGGTAGGCAGCAAGTATCGTATGGACGTATACTTGGGTTTGCTTGAGTTCTTGGTGTCGTTACCATAGAGTATAGAGAAGGTTTGTAAAACGATGGAAAACTCGGAATGTTGCTTTCCATTTTGATTTTTCTTCTTCTTTGGTCAGGCGACTACTATTCACAAAATGGGTGAAGAGTGTAAAACGTCCAGTTCTCGAGTCGAGATTGAACTGGACTAAACACCCCAAATATCGAACTATTTAAATGTCTAGTAATTACACTTTTTAATGGGATAGAACAATGCTGTTTGGAGTGTATTCTCTGCTTACTTAACCAGTTAAAACAGCAAATAGCCGTTCAATCCATCAGATTTCAATAAGAACAAAGAGTTCGTAAAAAGTGCTTGCCATTTTGGTGTCCTGCAACGGGATTGGTCGACTCGACGGCAATAATAAACATTACGCTCAGAGAATCTCAATAAAAACTAAAGAATTGCCTAAACAAGCAATCAAGGCAGTAGATTATTCTGTCAAAACTGCCCAACTGTCTCCTAATGTGTATTTTCCCAGCATAAACGGTTTTAATAAGACATGTCACAATGCAATCCCATCTTATTTCCTCACACACGTTGGACTTATTTGTAGCAAATTGTTGAGATCTGTGGTGGTTTTTTGTAAATAAGATTGGTTGCTATTTGGGAAATTGGGAACCCCCAAAAATTTCACCTGCTTCGAACATACACAGCTGTACAAGTCGATCTTTAATATAATGACACAAGCGATACACTCATTATTTAGGTTTTATCTAATAACAAGCCTGCAAATTAAGAACAATTTATTCATGCGTGAAAATTTATTTCCAACCGGGTTTATATCTAAGGTTTTGGCGGCGACATTTTTTTTACACAATTGACATAAGCTCACGACTGAGAAAGAATTCTTTAAGAATAAATTTATTTTGCTATTATTATCATTATATAAGATACGTAACTAATAAGTATATATGGGGAAAATATTGAGATGATATGGTTTGTTTTCAAAAAAAATATGGTGTAATAGTAGTTTCATAACTTTGACTTTTTATGTTAGCGACTCCCAACTGTTTGACGGAACTTCGTTCACATTACAGCTATAAGTTTACAATTTAAAGCCAAAACAATCAATGAAATCATCATTACAAAGCCAAAAGCAGAATTAAAATCAAATTAGTAGTCGTCATTGATGAAAGGAAAGTCGAAAGTTTTGGTTAAAATCTTTAATAAAAAATGACCGCTTGAGCTACCGTGATATAAAATTCAAGTAAGGAAGACGGACAAGAAGGCGTTTTTTAACAATAGAAGCATCCTATGCTCTTCGCACAAAGAAACATAATAAAAGTAGACGCAGAGCTTACTTAAGAATTAACGAAGACAAAGGAAAGACGAAAAGACATTTTGTAGTTTATTTGCTGTGTTTCTTAGCGGCATAAGATTCCATTCTGAACCCAGACTTTTTAGTAAGTAAATTACAAAGTTTCCTTTTACGACGTCGATGTAATTTCAACTTTTGAAGTTTAAAGACAACTCGGCATTTTTCTTCATATACTGCTTTTAAGAAATCATTCATAAATCGAGTCTTGAAATTGTATTCGCTCGTTTTAAAATAAAAAAGTTGAAAATTGAAGATAAAAACTAGAAAATAGTGCTGAAAATTTAAAAGAATTCGCCGCGAATGTGAATAAACAAAGCGATAGTTTGAATTACATGCACCAGGGCCATCACCGCGGGCTTCCATTGGGACAAAATTTGACAACGAAGACAGCTGAGTACTTTCCGTTTATGTCTCCAATTTTCGGCTTTAAAGTGAGTGCTAACATATACGTTTGCAGTATCGCCAATCACGTGATTAATGTAAGTGATTCATTGCCATGAAATGCCCAATTTTGAATTTATTTTCTCTTTTCTTTTTTCGCTCAACAATAATAATTTCTGCTTGTTTCTGGTTCTTGCAAAGTTTTTTATTTTTATTTTCTTTGATTAAATCTCTTTGTTAACATGTTTAAAAAAAGAATTGACGTTTTAAAGCTTCAAATTAAATGAAAATAACAAATCCCTAACCAAAATCTTTAAAATTAATCGTAAAAACTTCTTTAATTTTGATTCCTAGAAACCCTTTAGCCGATCAACTGCAACAACGGTGTCGTTAAATTCGTGGTGTTTCAAATACGGTATTCTTTCCATTGTCTAAGGTTATAGAAAATTAGCACGAAAGAGCTTCATAAATTCATTTGGATTTTATTTTTGTCTTTATGAATTAAAGGTGTTGGACAATATACTCAAATCCTATTCACGGCTGAAGGAGATGCGTTGGCGGTGTTCGTACGCGTTGTACTGCGCATGCGTCACCTAGTGCGAGTTTTGCAAAATTCTTTTTAATAAAGTTTATTGTAAAAGTGTAAATGTAGACTCATTCTCTTAATGTTAAGAGAGCATTTCGTATTATTAATTCAATTCATAAAGCTTATTCACAAGAATTATTTTTTTTCCCTCTAATAAATGGATTAAAATTTACAAAACAAAACAAAACATTTTTGAATTCTTTGTCTTGGTCTTACTTTTTTTATCGGGTCTGTTTCAAAAGCTTATTCCGAGCGTTTTAGCTTTGACAGAGCATTAGTATCTTCAATAGTTTAGACTAATGATATTTACACTGCAATTGTTTCCTAAACAGGTATAAAACACAGAGCACATGCAAGTTGCTATTTCTTAGCCATTGTCTACAAAACAAAGCTGCTTGTGTGTTTTATCTTCCCAATTTTACAGTCATATAAGTCTTTTTGAAACCTAGTAAATTGATGCCTTTGAACTTAAGCTTTTTTTAAAAAAGTACCAAATTTATTTTAAAAACCGTGCTTTTTCCTTTGACGTCTTGGATTGTATATTTTTTTCACGACGATCAAGTTCAATCATGGTTGCCATGATAATGACCAAAACTCGTTGGACATTGATTTCAGTAACGCACTTTCAGTGAATATGAACTTTAGCAAAGCGGTTAAACAGTATCGATTAAATAGACCTTGGGAACTATAAGTATTTATTCGTAGAGATAGAAAAGTCTTCAACTTCTTTTTATGTTTTCAGTACTCAAAAAATCTTCTGTAAAAAGTGAAGTTACTTCACATTTGGTAATTGGCTAATTAGTTAAACTTCAAACCCGGGAGTTCAAAATTCAGTGTTTTTAGTCTTTGAAAACTTTAAGGATGTAAGAACTATGAAGTTTTTCAAGTACTTGATGGGAATCTTATAAACTTTAGCTTATGCCACTATATAGATCATTATTTTTCTTGTCTTTGGATAATTTAAACTACGAAAGCTGTATTGAACCTGGAAAGAGATTCTCTTGTAAGAAGGTTACTAAAGTTACTCGGTTGCTACGTTGTCAATGGCCTCTTTAACTTTGAATACGATAAGAAGCAAAAATTTGAAGGCAATTTTACATAGGATCCAAAAAAAAAAAAAGATTTTCGATCAATTTTTGTCGCAGTGTTTTCATTCCTGATAATAAAAACGCTTTGATTTTTTAAAATCTTTTTATCGAAAAACATCTTCAAACTTGACCACAACAGGTACTACTGAACCAGCGTGGGGTATTTTTCGATGTGTTTGACGCCGGTGAGAAAACTTAAACAGTATGATTCCCATGGGTTGTTTTCGAGGCTGTCCTCTGGAAGCCAACAGAAAGAAGAAAAATTGTCTGTGTGATGTTTACTATCTACTGGTACCAGTCTACTGTTCTTTCACTTGCTCTTGTTTTGTTTTCGGATTCTGAAGAAAGCTTTAAGAACTTGTTGTATTTAGTCTGTTACATAGGTCAGTTCCAGATGTATTTTTCAGTCGTGATCATCAGCCTTTGGGATGGCAGTGTTTTCGATTTATTCAATCATTTCTCTCGGTACTGATTTTAAAAGACGTTTAAAAATTCATTTCAAATTTCAATTCAGTTTTATTTATGTTTAACACTTCTGTTAGCAATGGAGTTTGTCTGAATTTCAGTTTTTTTCTTATTAACGACTGGTTCTTTTCCGACCGATCGACTCGCCAGAGCTGATAAGTGTGCATTACTACATGGGGTTCAAGTCAAAGCATTTTTATGGTCTTAGTAGCAATTTTAATGAATTAAAGTGTTACAGTAATTACTCCATTGGTGCTAGGAACACTTAGGATAAAACAATCGACTTGCAGTGTCAATACACACTAATAGGACCAGACCCTATTTTTTTAATTTTTCATATTAAACCCAATGCGTCATCATTTTGATTGACAAGAAAATCCTTTTAGCACCCTCAATAAAGTCTATTAAGGCATGGTATGCTCAGGTTTACGCTCTATTCTTTTGTATCAATACAGACATGCTCTGATATAATTGGTTTTTATATGGGCGTATTTCAATGGTTTGACTCCAAAGCCGACTAACTTTATTGAAAGCTGCACCAGCATCGTATTAACGCCATTTTTTAATGATTTTTTAAAAAGAATTTGTCGATAAAAAATTCAACTTCAAAAACTGAAGTCGTCCGAGTAAGGGTCTCTGAGAGCACGGCTAAGAACTAATACTAAACATCCTATTTTAGGTTAATGATTTAAAAAAATGCCATTTCTATTACCCCAGATTTGATGATTTAGGTTGAGTATTAATGACTAGCGTACAAACACTCGCTGTCCATTAGAAAAAATGTAATGCTTATTCCACAATAAGCGAGTCCAATAATCACATCTGAGTAAACAGTTTGGTAAAATGTGTTGTTTTTGTGGCTATTGTCATTGAACCTTTTCTAATGTGCTGACAGTTGAGTCTTTGATGAGCCAAGTTCTCGTACTTAAAGACCCATTACAGCTATTAGATGTTTACAGTTCATAATGATCGGTAAGACCAAGAATTTCACAACTTACCCTCAAAATTAAAAAGCCATAGCAACGCCTATATAATGCTATGTAGAAAATACACTTCACAACTTAGCTTTTAAAGTAACAACGCCTTTTGCTTTAACTGAAAGGCTCTAAAAAGCCTTTTTATACTCGTGTCTTTCATAAACTTCGATAAAATATCCGGGTTTTTTTATTTTGAGCCGAAATATCTTGCAACGTTACACTAACTCCGAAATAGCTTCCCATTCTTCCTGTTCCGCATCCAATCACAATGCATATTTATGGATGCACCAAATTTTACCCACCTCAAATCAACCAGCAAGTCTCCAAAAATTATCAAAGAGATCTACCCAAAAGTTTCAAACAGATTGAAAAAAATTTTTTTTAAAGTCTTTAGAATCGAAAATGCAATTAAAATATTTGAAAGAATAAGAAAGATTGTTAACAGCAGGATGTACAAGTTCCCACACTCCTCGTCTTTACTCCAGTTATCTGAATTCCCATTGATTCAGCTGAACAAGACCTTAACACCTACTTGGAAAAGAATGTTTGAAAAGTGTCCTTTTTGTATGAAATTCTTTTATAACTCTGTTGTATCCTTGCTACAGAAACATTTACCTTAAAAAGTCCAAATCCAATCTTTTGGCTTAGTCGCTAGTATTAGTGTGTTTGTATGATTTCTAAATTGATATCAAATTGTCTTTCATGATTGTAATATTTTAAATAAAGATTTAAAAAAGTAAATTCATAAATTGAATTTATCAAGTCTTTTCACATATTTTATGTCAAACTAGTGAAAGTTAATTAAAGTTATTGGGAATATTTTTTCTTTTTTCCCTTAAACTCCTCCAATCATTTAGGGTTGAAGCTCCAAAAAGTCAATAAGTCAAGTTTCTTTTTCATATTGTCAGATCAATACCCTGAAACAACTTTTGGACTGATCAAAAGGCATGGCTAACTTACAGATTGGACCCTGGAACAACCTTTATGGGCTGGTCAAAAAGGCAAAGCTAACATAAGCTAACTCACAGATCCAACCTTCAAACAACCTTTGGGCTGATCTAAGTCAGAGCACAAATAATTTGCAGATTGAACCCTGAAAAACCCTCTGAACTAATCAAAGTCAGGACATGGCTAATTCACAGGTTGAATTGGGATTTAACTTTATAGAATTTGTGGAGGGAGAAGCAGTGGAGAAATTTGATAAAAACCCTTGAATCATCAAAGATATATAGTGTCCAAAATACATATTTTTTATACCAAATGAAGTCCATACTAGATTTTTACTTCTTAATTATTTATGTATAATTTTATTTGTTTTACAAAATATTATGGAAGCATATGGAAGGTGGATTTTTTACAGTATTAAATCTTTTAAATCATATTTAAATTTTATCACGTATTTTGTACTATGTTCAAAAAGTATCAAATATCAAGGTATCATTTTTCACCATCCTTCATGTTTAGCTTAACTTGCTGCTTGTCTGTACAAACTTGTCATGTGATATCTTGGAACTTGGGTAAAGTTGCCCAGCAAATTATCATCATCGTTGATTCTCCAGTGGCTTGTAATGGCTCATTTTGTGCTGATGGCTTATGAATGAATAGCAATGAAAAACTCCAAGTGGTTTATAATTTGTTGAGATTACAAGCAAATATTTCTAACTTCCTAATAGCAGCAGTATTTTAGTTAATTGTATTCCGGCATTGAAAAAATTATATAGGTCAAGTCCAGGGGGCCTGGGGGGGGGGGGGACTCAAAGGTAAAAGTATCCTGTATGCTTGTTGTATCTTTTAGGGATAAAAATTAGCGATTTGGTATCTTTTATGGTGTTGACATTGAAATTTAGAATTTCAGCATTTCTTGTTTTTTTTTAGGGTATCTCTTAGGGGTTAAAAACTGTCCAACCACTCCCTTTTTAAAAGACTCTTGGGCTTTTAGGGGTATTAGAAAAAATACCCCTAAAAGCCCTTCAGGCCTTTAATTTTAACTACCTATAGCTACCTACCCAATAATTGCCTGTAGCCAGCTTCAGAAAGCTCCAGTCATTTGAGTTAGTTGTGGGTGAAAAATTTAAGTCCCATCCAGTTGAAATACATGAAAATGACGAAGATAGGAACCAAAACAGGAAGGATTAGCCCCATGTAACATGTCGAATACTGTTGAAGACATGCCTCTGGAAAATCCTGGTGTAAAATCATTCAATATCATTGAATAAGTTATCCATTGAATATCAGTAATTTAGCAATGCTCATCCCTAACCATCCCCCCTAAAAAACACTGGCCCTTTGCCTCCCCCCTCCTGTAACAAAAGTCAGTTCATTTAGGTCTGATAAACCATAGTTGATAGATATTAACTATTATTATCTATTATAAAATAACTGTTATAAGTCTCACATTCTGATTGGTTGGGAACGCATGCTTTATGAAAGCATGCAGCACGCATGCGCACTTTCAGTTGTGTCATTCCTATCCAAAAAAACAGTTATTGAAATTTGTATTTTTGTAATAGAAATAGAAACCTTGCTTGTGTGCTGTGTGGAGATATAAAGCACTTGGGGATTGGAAGAACACTCAAGAAGTGTCCAGAAGCACCATTCCATTATGCGTCATGCTCCTCCTAACGCTTTTCTTGTGTTCTGCCAATCCCCATGTGCTTTATAACTGCACACAGCACGCGCGCACGTTTTCTATTTCTTCATTATCTATGGATAAACTATGACTATGTTGAATGAAATTGGATAGGAAAAGAGAACAAATGAAATGGAAAGGCAGAGCTAAATATTGGGATGATAAAGACAAAGATATGTAGAATGACACCATATTTAGTTATCAATGAATAGATTCAAGAGTTTTTTTTTTAATTGAAAAAAGAATTGAAACGAATTATTATTTTATTTTTGTAATAGTGGGTTTCCTGTGCATAAGGATTCTAATGTAAAAGCCTTGAAAATATATGCACTATCTTACAAGCAAAACTTACCGTAGACGTCAGAAATGAGTAACCAATCCCAGATAAGCAAAGAACAACGAAAAGAATCGATATAACAAGGATAAAATAAGCATAAAATGTTGAATCTCCAACCTTCGCCATTAAAATCACTTCCAACACCGCTGAACAATAAACCGCGGCTCATATCTTTATGATAGTTACTGCTGGATAACAGCTGTGCTGGCTCACGTTTGGCGCGATTTTTTCAAAATGGCGGCAAGTGCAGACTGTGTGCATGGAAAATATAGAAGTCCCCTTACTAGCCGATATGCCAGCCCAGAAATGGCATATAACTTTTCTGAAGACAAGAAATTTTCGACCTGGAGGACTTTGTGGCTTTATCTCGCTAAAGCTGAAAAGGTAAAAGTGGTTGGGTTGGAAATTGGGTTTGAGAGTGATCCACGTGACTGCGAATGGGGAGTTGCACTTTTGATTTTTCGAGCGTATTTTTGAGTTCAAAGTTTTTACGTGTTAGGACATTAGGTTTTTTAGTTGTTTGACGTATAGTTGAAAAATAAACCCTTTTTAACTTGGACGTATTAAAAGTTTTCCCATTTCGGACCATGTATCATTCTCTTCAGAATACGATTCTCTGTTTGAGTTGTAGTTGTTAAGCAAAGAAATGATACTCTATGGAATAAGGTCAATGATAAAGAGGTAAAGAGGTCAATGTTTCTTGTACTATCATTAGATTTAGGTCAGAATTTCAGTGGAGGGCAGAAGTTACATCGTCCTCCCTCTTTTTGCCCCCCCTCCCCACTCCCTCCTCCCCCCTCAACTTTCAGGATTTCCAGGGTCCACACCTAATTGTCTTATCATGTACCCACCTACATGTTACCTCTGCCATCTCTACCAAGACTAAAACATGAGTTTTGTTTTGTTGTCTAGGAACTAGGATTAGACACTACTGAGGAGCAAATTACAGAAATGGAGGCCAACCTTAAGAACATAGATTATGAAATGGCCACAACTGAAGAGAAGAAACGTCGTCATGATGTCATGGCACATGTCCATACCTTTAGTGCTTGTTGCCCTAAAGCTGCTTCTATCATCCACCTGGGAGCTACGTCATGTTATGTTGGTGATAATACGGTATTGATAATGATGATAAGATAGTATGCCGTCATCACTAACATCATTACCATCTTCCATCACTATCATGTTCATCCATCAACATCATCTTTATCAACGACATTTTTGTCAATAGTAATATCATCATCATAACCAGCCAACAGCATCATCTCTATCTTCAGCACCACTAATATTAATAAATAATAATAATAAATTATATTTTATATAGCGCTAATTCCTTAAGTTCAACAGCGCTTTACAAACATTTAAGACTAAAAAATGTTTTAAAATTTAACGCTATCCTAATACTATAAGATATAAATGGGGGGTGTCTGCAAAAAGTTCCTCCATGGGGGGGGGGGGGGGGGGGGTATAGATAATTTCTAAAATTCGTCACATCGTCATTATCCATTTTTTTTTTAATCATATCTGACATCATAGTCATGATCCACCATCATCATCATGTCCACCACATAGAGCTAATTAGTTGTTATCTAATTTTCATTTTACTCTACCTTCTTCTTTTATTATCGATATTTCATTTGTATTTATGCCCACAGGATCTCATAGTAATCAGGGATGCATTTGATATCCTGCTTCCTAAGGTAACCACTTCAATATTTATATTGGTTAATAAATATTTTATCAAGTCTCATAACTGAATGATTTATTCCATGACATTCAGCTTGCCAGGTGCATCAAGAGATTGTCAAATTTTGCTGAACAGAACAAGGCATTACCAACCCTTGGTTTTACACACTATCAGTAAGAAATATAAACTAGAAAATATCCCTTATTAGCCCTTCCAAGGTTGAGGGATAAAAACTGGGTCAAGTTGGCATTGCAGTGCATTGTGGGACTGCTTTGGGTGCCATATTGCCAATGCACTGCAATGCACTCCCTGTACCCCTTCCCTAGATCTGCCCTCATTACTTCCATGTTTAGATGAAAGAATATATTTTATAAGACTTTGAAATAGCACATCATATTTTCTATATTGATTGATATTTTGGTCGATTGATGTATTTCAGGCCAACACAGTTGACTCCCTGTATCCCTTCCCTAGATCTGCCCTTGTTACTTCCATGTTTAGATGAAAGAACATATTTTATAAGACTTTGAAGTAGCACTTCATCATATTTTCTATATTGATTGATATTTTGGTTGATTGATGTATGTATTTCAGGCCAGCGCAGTTGACTACGGTTGGTAAGAGAGCATGTCTGTGGATATCTGATCTTCTGATGGATCTAAGGAATATTCAAAGGGCAAAAGATGACCTGAGGTTTCGTGGGGTGAAGGGGACGACAGGCACTCAAGCTAGCTTCCTTAGCTTGTTTGATGGGGACCATGAAAAGGTGAGCTAGTGAATGAATGGATGGGTGGGAGAATGGTGTATGGATGGATGGATGGATGGATGGATGTATGGGTGAATGGATGGGTGAATGGATGGATGGATGGAAATCAATTAATTCAAAACTAAATAATTACTTACAAGCCACACTAAACAATATTGGTGAGCTCTCCACAANTGGATGGATGGATGGATGGATGGATGGATGGGAGGATAAATGGATGGATGGATGAATGGGTAGATTGGTGAGTGGGTTGATGGACTATAAAATAAAAGCAAAAGAAGTCACATATTTATATCATACACAGGTAGAGAAGCTAGATATGCTGGTTACAAGTATGGCAGGTTTTAAATCAGCATATATAGTGACAGGTCAGACCTACAGTCGTAAGGTTGATCTGGACTGCCTCTCAGCACTCAGTAGCCTTGGTGCTTCTGTTCATAAGGTAAATAAACAAATAATATATGTTGGAATATACTTTACTATATAAACTACAGGGTTTTACAGAGATTTCGGCCACTGAGAAATATTGTATCTAAGCACACATAAATATAGTATATTTGTTCATCTCTGACATTTGCTTCATGCTCTTTGACTTTAATTTTCCTCAGATTTGTACAGACATCAGACTGTTGGCTAATCTGAAGGAGATCGAAGAACCTTTTGAGAAAGACCAAATAGGTACAGTAGGTGCAATAAAATTTAAAAGTTTGTGGTGACTAAAGATAAATAGTTTAAACAGTTTTTACCAATAATCTTTATAGGTTCTAGTGCTATGCCATATAAGCGTAATCCAATGAGAAGTGAGCGTTGTTGTAGCTTGGCCAGGCATTTGATGGTATTAGTGGGTGATGCACAGCAAACGGCAGCTTTGCAGTGGCTGGAGCGAACACTTGATGACAGTGCAAACAGGTATTTATCATCATCATCATCATCACCACCATCATCATCAGCATCGTTCTTATTTATAAATTCTCTTCTGGTTTTAATAACATGGTGCATTAGTGAAGTGTGGATGGCATAGTGGTAAAACCCTTGCCTTTCACATCTGAGGTCCAGGGTTCAAACATCAGTTCCTCATGTAAGCTGAGCTGGTTCTCTTTCAAACTCCAAGGGTTCTGATTCAAACTGATTAGAGCTGTGCTCTGGGACGTCATTCATGGACTGTATAGAGGCTGCCAGCTACAGTATGTTGAGCTGCAACACTGCTTTACTTGCGGTAGTGATAGGCCACAACAAGTTATTATTATTATATACATTCAACAGGCGTATCAGCTTAGCTGAAGCATTTTTGACCGCAGACATCTTGTTGAGTACCCTGCAAAACATTTCAGAAGGGCTGGTGGTATATCCAAAGGTTAGAACAATTTCACACCTAAACTTCAAACATTGCTGTGACTAGGTTGATTTGATATAGTACGGTACACAATGTATACGGTACACTTGCAAGGGAGTGACAAGGACCGCAGAGCTAGGGGGCTGGGTGGCTATAGCCCCTCCAATGATGTTGCAAATGACCCTTAAAACATGGAAATCCCATTTCTAAGGGTCTTAATTTCAAAAATTTTTTGATCCCCATAGATGCTCCTGCCTTCAGTGGTTGTTAGCCCCTCCCCCCAATCAGAATTACGCTTCACGGTCCCTGAGTGACTAATTCCAATATGTTGACAATTCTGTAACACGACAGTGTTTTTTGTCCTTCCAAATATGAGAAATGACTAAAAAAAAAACAACAAATACTGAGACAATAATATGAGGAAAAAAGTGCTTTTTCTTTACATAGTCTATTTTTCTTTTTTCTTCATTTCTTGACATAATTACTTTTTGCTCTGTTTTGTTAGGTGATTAAGCGTCACATTATGCAGGAGTTGCCTTTTATGGCTTCAGAGAATGTCATCATGGCCATGGTCAAGATGGGAGGGAATAGACAGGTAACCCCTTAAATTTCAATAATTGAACAACTGTGGTAGTAATTACAAGATCCAATTTTCTTGGGAACTCGTAAAATATCAGCACAGGGCCCGTTTGTATGAAGGGTGGATAGCACTATCCGATGGATAAATCTTATCCAGTGAAAAAATTTATTGGATAACAGCATCAAATTATACACTGGATAAGGATTTATTCGTTAGATAGCACTATCCATCCTTCGTACAACCAGGCCCAGCTCTAAACCATTAAGAAGCTCTAAAAAATTGTACCAAGACCACAGGTAACCCAGTCAACTGATTTCTTTCAGGAGTGTCATGAAAAGATCCGAGTTCTGTCACAAGAAGCTGGTATGGTCGTCAAAGAAGAAGGCAAGGACAATGATTTGGTAGAGCGAATCAAATCATGTCACTATTTTGCTCCTATTCATAATCAACTTGAAAAACTACTTGATGCAAGCACCTTCATAGGCCGTGCACCAGAACAGGTATACATGTAACACAACTAATCTCCTCTCTACAGTACTTTACTTTACAATACCGAACCCTGAAACAACCTCTGGGCTGATCTAAGTCAAGGCACAGCTAACTCACAGATCTAACCCTGAAACAACCTCCAGGCTGATCTAAGTCAGGGCATGACTAACTCACAGATCAAACCCTGAAACAACCTCTGGGCTGATCTAAGTCAGAGCATGGCAAACTCACAGATTGTAACAACCTCTGGGCTGATCTAAGTCAGGGCATGGCTAACTCACAGATTAAATTGAAATTTATTGTGTTAGGGTGAGACCCCAGAGTTGAGAGGCAAGTTAACTACCACTACACTACCCTTGATTCCAAAAGTTTAAATAAATATTTTTTATTTAAACTTTTGGAATATGAATAAAGAAGTATACAATGGTTTCCAGGTTGATAGGTTTCTGCGCGAGGAGCTGACACCATCACTCAAACCTTATGAATCCCATCTTGGAGGTTCCTCGACCATAAATGTTTAGATACAACTGTCAACCGTAAGTAACACCCACTAGTAAATATACATTTCTATCTTAGTTTGTGTGGTCATTCTTGTCTGTTTCCTTTCTCTGCCTTATTTCAACTTGAAAACCTACAGTAGTTAGTAATGAGATGCACGATTGGTGTGCACCACTTATATCTCCTCTCACCAGGGTTAAATTCCCAGGCTTGCCGTGTCATGTGAGAAGAATCCACCTTTTTCACGTTAGCCATCATGTGTTATAAATATGTATTGGATTGTGTTATTGCCACCAAAAAGTTCTGACATTGTTCTCAGATTTCGGATTTCCATGTCTTGACTATGAAGAAGTTGACTCTTCTACGCATAACTTTGATTAACATTGAAATTTATTGACAATACTTCTCAGACTTCTCACATATAGAACAAAAGTTTTTCCAATTTTTAGAACATTTATCTCTACTATTTACAATATGCAATTTTTTTTGAAATGAATATGCTTATCATTAAATAAGAAGATAAATTTATCGATTACAGTTGAATAATTATTTTTTGCTTTTTATTTTTTGCTTTTTTAGTCTTTTTTCGTTGTTGGAGATATTTCTGCCTCTCGCAGGGCAAATGTTATTTAATAACTATCTAACATTTTAAAAAATAATGGTGTACAGAACAGGAGTTGTAATAATAATCTGAGTCAGAATGAATATTTTCGTGGTAATCACGTATGACAATATCCCTTCATACAGTAGCTCAAGGATCGGTAGTTATGTGGTGCTAGCCAAGTCTGAATTAGACATTGCATGATGATAAATCACGTGACCTTGTATTTTTGTGCTGTCACGCAAGTATAATATTATCTAAACAACATAAAACCAAGAGAACATAAATAAGAGAGGGAAATTTCTTAATAACGCGCGCGCAATGGAAATTCCCGGTTGGGCTATTTTTAGTAACCGGATGCAGTTTAAATTTCGCCTTACCCTACTCCCGTGCGTCATCAACTTGCGCACGCGCACTCTTTCCGTTTCGCTTTTAGTGATCAAAACGATAAACGGAAAGAGCGCATGCGCGCAAGTTGATAACACACCCGGTAACTAAAAATAGCCCAACCGGGAATTTCCATTGCGCGCGCGTTATTAAGAAATTTCCCTCCCTTATTTATGCTCTCTTGATAAAACCTAGTATTGACGTTACTTAAATGAAAATTACGTTACTTGTGGTTCTCGAGAACTGCGTTACTTTCCTCCGCGTCTTCATGCTTTGTGTCGTCTTGGCTATCGTCTTGTCCGTTATCTTCTAGTTCTAACATGCTTGTCTTGATGAATGTTACGAACTCTTCCCAGCTTAGCTGGCCATCCTTGTTGACGTCGAACATGTCTATCAGTTCTTCTGCTTCGCTCTGCGAGAATTTCTCGCCTGTGTTACACACCACGTAACGCAACTCCTCAGGGGAGATGTAGCCACTTCCGTCACGGTCGAATTTCCTGTGATGGAAAGAAATGGCGCTAGAAAAATGACCACAGCAAATTCTATCCATCCACCTATCCTTCCTTCCGTTCGTCCATCCAATTATCCATTCATCCGTTCGTCCATTCATCTATCCTTTCACTGACTCATTCGTCCTTTCGCCCGTCCTTTTGCCCGTCCGTCCATCCGTTATTATTATTATTATCATCATTATCATTATTATGATATTATTAATTGACTAATAATCGAAATTTGAAACCCATTTGAACATTTTATGCTAATTTTCGCTCTATAAATGCACAGACTATTCCTAATTCCTTATTCCTACTTATCATAGGTATAAAATGTTTTATTATTATTATTATTATTATTATTATTATTATCAATAT